CGGCCGCTGCTCGTAGTGTTTGTGTGTGTGTGTGTGTGTGGGGGGGTGTTAATATTGAGGGGAAAAAAAACCCCGGAAAATAGATGTACAATATTGTCAAGATGTCATTAAAATGTGTAACAGATCTGGGTGGGCAGGCGGCGGTGCGGGGGGCTGACGGCCGTGCCTCTGCCCTGCAGAGCAGGAGGTGGCGGCGGAGTGCGCCCTGCAGCTGCGCAGGATCGGCGACAAGTGGGACCTGCGGCAGAAGATCCTGAACCTCCTGACGAAGCTATTCTGCCCGGAGACGTGAGCTTCCCCGGGACACGGTGTGCTGGAAAGCGGGGGAAGACCTTGGCTTTGTGGATTTGGAACGAGAGACTTCGCCGACACTGGGAGATGAAGAAAGCTCTTTGCGTTGTATTTTGCTTCCTGTAGCCGCTGAAGGATGGCCGTTGCAACGTGATTTCTTGGAAGAATGTTACAGCAATATTGGCATGTGAGTGCCAGGTGGAAAAAAAAAAGATAACAACAGGGAAAGCCTCTCGCCGTGTGGTGCGGAGACTTGGGGCAAGACGGAACTTGTCCTTCAGCCTGGCCTCAGAAGACCTCCAGGAGCCTGGTTTCCCCAGTCTCCCTCTGGTCCTCGTGTCCCGCAGCTATGTTTCACCGAGGAGCTCGGACCACCTTCGGGAAGAAGCAAAAAAAACCCCACAAGTGCCAGTATCTTGGAACATGGGATTGTATATCACAAGGCAAAAGCCAGTTGCTCGGTTTCTGACTGCTCTTGTTTTCTAAAGCATGGATTCTGCTGGACAGGGATCTGGTGGGGGGGTTATTTAATATGTTAAGTAAACAACTGTCTTTATTGAAAGGTTATTTGTTACTGGATGTTGTTTTGTGAACTAAAAATTATAATTTTATGAATTAACATGATGTTGCATAGTTCTAGTCTATATTATATATATATGTATATATTTGTACATATATATTTTATATATATATATATAAACTCCCTATATATATATATAATATATATAAAATATATATATGTGCACCCCCTGTGTATGAAATCAGTATTTCACAGAACTATTAATTGAATGCTACTTGTTAGGCTCAAAAATAGTATGAAAAAAAGTTCCAAACATGACATAAAAATACATTATATTAACTAGAAGAAAGCGTAATTTTTTCTGATAATAAAGGAAATACTTCCTGTAACACAGAGGGGAGCATACTTTATTACAGCAGTGTATAAGACATACGTATTATACAAATACAGATATTGAGGTATGTGTGTTTGGTGGAGGGGTTCTTTCAACATTACAAAGAATTTCTTGAGAACAGTACAATACTGCTGTGTCTTTATACGTAACAACATAACTCTTCAATAGAGTAGATCTTAAAGTTGAATCCAAGTTGAATCTCAAGTTTTCTTGAGAATGTTATTTATTCAAAGAAAGCAACTACCTCTCTTTGAAGAAATAATATCAGTAGAATTTAATGTTACAGTCAGTACAGGAAAGTAGCCTTGGATTTCTGAATGTTTAAGTATACTTACAAGTGAAGGTTCTTCCCTTGTACGTTATTTCCATTTCATGGCAACCTCATTTCGGTTCCGGAGTGATGAAGCTGCTGTAACACATCCAGTGGACGGTGATGCATTATGCCTGTCTCACTGAGGGGTTATTACGCTTGGCTGGCTTTGGAGGAGCTGAATTAAGCATGCCGATCGCCATCAAAGCAAAGAGTGACTCTGCTAGTCAATTCATGTCAGACACGATCTTAAACAGTATTTTGTCATGGGTGCAAGCTAGCAAGAAAATGGCTGAAGCTGATAATGTTTTGTAGCTACTTCTTAGGTCAATGATCAGTGTTCCTTCTCTTAACTAACCTTGTATGTAAGTACATTTGCATTGTATAAGGCTGTATAGTTGCACTTTCGGAACTCTGATTCTGTTCAGATTACATTTTTTCCTGCCTTGTAGTGAATTCTTGTTTGTATTTATGATTAATTTTTTGGCTAGCTCTTCTGAATCTGCCTTTGCAAAATTGTCGTTGCATAGCTCTCGTCACTCTGTCACAACCAACTGTGTATGGCTGTTACTTGTTGTCACTGATTCCACTAAGCAGAAGCTGACCGACTTTGCCTGCTTTCTGCATGGAGGACTTAACTCCGTCCCAGTGGTGTTGCTGGGAGCTTTGCCGTTGGCTTCAGCCACGTGCACGGTTCCCTCCTCCCCTAAGCCAGCTAATACCTTTTCAGTGAGAACGTAATGTTTCAAGAAGAGCTGTTATTCGCCTTACTACGTATTTTACTGACATATACAGAGGTTGGTTTTTTAGGTATTACAAAAAAAATGCAAAGAGTTTCTGCTAAGCTAAACACCAGTGCCCAGGCTAGCGCCGCATGCAACTCAGCAGAGCTGTTCATCGAAGGCAGCCCCGACTTCAACAGAAGGGCTCCCACTGTATATCCTGGGCTTGGTGGAGTCTTGGAGTCTTCATCAAGGACACTAAACAATGATTGTGCCTGTCTGGGTCTCTCAGGAAAATTCAGCATTAGCATTTGCATTAGTAGCTGAAATGTATTTGAATAAAAGTATTCTGCTCCATGTATGCTGCTTTGAAATTCAATAGGAAACAACGCGTGGGCTTCATAGAGTCCAGCCAATACTTCAGGCTGTAGCACACATGGATGTTATGAAAAAGAAAGGTATTTCTATAAATGCATTGTTATGGGGATATCTGAGTTAAGTATTAGTGCAGTATTTTTCTGTCTAGCTCTGCAAAGACTATTTGCTTTTCGTGAAGTGTTTTTATATTTCCCTGAGCATTGTCAAGAGTGCTAGCATTCACCAGGAGCTCAGGAAGAAGACCTAGATCCAAGAGATCGGTGTCAGTATACGAGCAAGCGCTTGCTGATGTCCTCCCTCAGAGTCTTCTTGTTACTTCTCCAAAGGATCTGCTATATGGCGAGTTTGTTTTTCTTAAGGCCTATTTTGGATACGGGCCAGATGTTTTGCTGTATGCCACATGCATGTTATGTCTTGAAACCTTGCTGAGATAATAAATACAAAGCGTTTGCAAGAAACATGAGTCATCATTGTTACAACTCTGGGTTTTTTTTGCGGATTCTGAATGCGTGATGGTATTACACAGATTCCTGCCATACTTCCAAGTCATCGGGCACGCACTGGGGCAACAGCAGAGTGCCAGTAGGTATGCATTGGGAGATTAGGCTTTTACTTTTTTCTTTAAGAGGAACAAGACATAACCATATCCTTGAACTTCAAAATGGAAAACTGAGACACCTATTCTAATATTTTCTAGTAACTACTGCCTGCAGAATAGTTGGGTGGTGTCAGGGGCTCTATTACCTCTACCAGAGGTATTGCAGCTTTCAGGAAGAGCATCCCTGGGGATCAATGTAGGATAGACATCCAAGTTAAAGGTTTTTTTCTCAGACACAGGCAGAAAGGAATGCAGCATTTCTCCAAAGTTTCTCCAGTTGTAGCTTGAGTTTTGGAAAAGGGGGAAATGATACTGCCTACCATAAGGGGATAGCAAAGGGATAGTGCAGAGTTTATTCTTCCTCCCTAAAGCTGGGACCCAAAGACGTGTCTGTGGAGAGGAGAGCCCAAGGTCCTCACCTGCTACACCATGTACATCAGCAGGCTTTCTTTCCCCTGACTCATTGTGCTGCTTCTCCCCAGCTTCACGGGCAGGGATTGCCACGCCTGGGGCACGTGTTCCCAGCACGAGGAGGACTCAGAGCTTCCTGCCCAAAGGCTCTGGTTTCTGGTAAACTAAAAAAAAAACAAGAGGGGAGCAAGTCTCTGTCCTTTCCCAGTTACCCACCAGCAGAGGCTTGGAAGAGCTTTACTTCAGGGAGCATCAGTGAAGCGGTCCTGAGAAGGCCCATCAGCCTGGTGCCAAGTGCTACGCGGGTGCTGCACAGTGCATCTTCGCACAGCCCCACCAGCAAACAAATTACACTCAGCCTTGTGAAAACATCCAGACACCCTCACCCACTGTCTGCCAGAGCCTGGCCCCTCTCCAGCCAGGTCACCGCCAGAGCACTGTGCTTGTGACCTGCTCCTCCCTAAAGGGCAGGGAAGAAAAAAATCCCATCGCTGGGGCATAGCATCGCTGTCTGAAGGCACCTGACTCACCCACAAGCACCTGATATCAAAAAACCCAGACCGAATGCATCTGCCGAAGCAAACTGCCGGAGTTGCCGCCCGGTAGCACTCTCCATTAACCATGGTCTGTGGGCACCTGCCAGAGCAGCAAGTGCAGCCCTGGGTCACGTTTGCGCTGTGCTCACCCAGGCGAAAACCAGCCCGGTGCCCTCGGCCAGCTCACACTCTCACACCGGAGACTGGGTGCACAAGCGGTATTTCCTAAACAAATTGCTAGACAACACCTCCCTCCTTCCCTCTCCCCTCTGCAGGATGTTTTTTTAAGTCATCTGAAAAACAATGTCTCACATGCTGCTCATTATTTTTAGTGCATACTGCTGGAAGGGACTAATTTTATCATTTTCCTCCTGTCAACATGAGATGGTGTGAGAGCATGACGTGCATCCGTAGAGGTGCAAGGAGGCCGGACAGGAAGGGCCGGGGATATGATGTGTTGTCTTTCAGCCGGGCAGGATTTTCCATGAAGCAGGTGAATGTCTGATGGCGGGACTGTCAGTGAGCAATAGTCCCAAAAGCTGTTACAGCTGTAAACAAGGGTCTTTACCCAAGTACGTCACTATATTGTCTGGACAATGGCGTAAGAAACCAGCCACGCCAAGGCTGCCCTGCCTTCTCACGCACGGTGTCTTTGCAATGCAAATCTCACCAGTCCACAAAGCCCTCTGAAAGTGTGGAGGTAGGTATCACTCCTTTAGCAACAGGAGATATCTCACGAAATGGCAGTGACCTCAAATAAAACTGCTTCAGCCACTTCATCTTACAGGGGCATTGGTGTCATTCCCTCCTCCCCAGGAAAGGACGGCAGGAGCACCACTTGGCTCGGCTCCTCCATGCTGCTGCCACTGCTTTAAGGGCCAAGGCAGCTTTCTGCAGGGGACAAGCCAGCTGCAAACCTCGAAAGAAACCAGTTACCTTCCAACCTTAATGATTCTATGATTCAGCAACACTAGGTACGGCTGGCAAACAGGATGCCAGCACCCCCGCGTTACCTTTGTGGCACTGCAGCAGCGCCCAGCCGGGCGGCTCAGAGCAGAGGATGGCACCGGGATGGCGCCCATCACCAGGCTTTTGTGCCTTTGGGGTTTTGCCTGCATTATCACGCTCTGCC